ATTTTAATATTCATTTTTTAGTTTTTGGTGGACACAACATCTTTGTTTGTATGTGGTGCTGAGGATCGAACCCGGGCCGCACACATGCCAGGCGAGCGCACTACCGCTTGAGCCACATCCCCAGCTCTTAATATTTTTTATTTAGAGAAAGTGTCTAGCTAAGTTGCTTAGGGTCTCTCTAAGTAGCTGAGACTGGCTTTGAATTTGTGATACTCCTGCCTCAGTTTCTCAAATTGCTGAGATCACAGGCATGCACCACTGTACCCAGCTGGCTTAAAATTCTTGCTAGTATCTTGTCTTGAACTGGAAAAGAACACGGAGTCTAAAATGTAACTGAAACTGGCCTTTGTCTAACACACTAACATTAGTCTAGTTGATCTGTAAGTGCAAAGCTTCTTGGGCTGTATGTAGAATACAATGGAGCTCCTTTTTTATTTGCTCACTCCTAGTGACTGATCGCAAAGGCACTCTACCATTGAGTTATTTATTTATGTTTTGTTTGTTACTTATTTATTTATGTTTTGTTTTTTTTAGTACCAGGGATTGAACCAAGGGGCAGTTAACAACTGGGCCACATTCCCTGCCTTTTTTTGTATTTTATTTAGAGATAGGTTCTTGCTGAGTTACTCAGTGCCTCTCCAAGTTGCTGAGGCTGGCTTTGAACTCCCAATCCTCCTGCCTCAGCCTCTTGATTTACTGGGATTACAGATGTGCACCACCATGCCTGGTTCATTTATTTATTTTTCTGAGGCAGGATCTTGTTAAGTTGCTGACTGGGGAACTAATGATATCTATCTCTGTTTCTTGGCATATAGCAAGTAGCATCTCTGATTGGAGCTGATCCTCGTGAGATCATTTTCACTAGTGGTGCTACTGAATCCAACAACATAGCAATTAAGGTAAGAGAAGGATGCTGAGGGTGTCACTCAATTGGTGTTGGATCCTCAACACCTCCTAAGAAAAGGAAAAAGGTAAGAAAAGGGAAATAGATGGCACCTCTGGAATTGTGGGCCATCATGCCCAGAAAGATAACACACCCTTTCTAATATGTTGATTCTTTTTTCCCTTTGTTCCAATTAGTTCTATTTTTGTTATTTATTTTTTGATGCTGAAGATCAAACCCAGGGTATAAAGTATGCTAAGTATGTGTTCTAACATTTAGCTATATCATCAGTTTCTAATATTTCATATTTTGTATGTGGTGCTGAGGATCGAACCTGGGCCGCACGCATGGCAGGCGAGTGCACTACCGCTTGAGCCACATCCCCAGCCCAATAATTTCATATTTTACTTTTAGAATAATTTTGTATTATAAACTGAGTGGGGGGTACTGCACATTTTATCACTTTAAATTTTTGTTGTTGGTATTTTGTTTTTTTTTTTGTTGGTACCAGGGATTAAACTCAGGATCTCCTGTGTGCTGGACAATTGCAATAAGTTTTATTTTGACAGTGTTTTGTTAAGTTGCCTTGGTTGGCCTTCAACTTGCAATCTTGCTATGTCAGCCTCCCAAGTAGCTTTGGACTACATGTGCTACCATATCTGGTTATATGGTGTTTTTTTTTTTTTGTCTTAAATGAAAGAAATGCTTTTTACTTCTTTATTTCCTTATAATAAATTGAAATTCTAAGAACTTAAAATATAATACTGGGGTTGAGGTGTAGCTCAGTGGTAGAGCACTTGCCTAGCATGTATGAGGCACTGGGTTCGATCCTCAGTACCACATAAATAAATAAAATAAAGGCATGCTATTGATCTACAACTATACAACAAATAATTTTAAAAAAATATATAAAATACTGTTTTTTCTGATATTAAAAATATCACATAGGGGCTGGGGATGTGGCTCAAGTGGTAGCGCGCTCGCCTGGCATGTGTGTGGCCTGGGTTCGATCCTCAGCACCATATACAAATAGATGTTGTATCAGCCAAAAAACAAACAAACAAAAAAAAAGTATCACATAGTTGGCTGGGAAATAGTCAGTAATAGCATGCATGCTTAGCATGTGTGAAGCCCTGGATTCAATCCTCAGCACCAAACCAAGTGAAAAAACAAATACCTTTGTAAATGGAATTGAAGTTATTGCTATTTCCCTGAATATGTTCTCTTTCCTTCCACCATCATTACTGTTTAGGGGGTAGCCAGGTTCTACAGGTCACGGAAAAAGCACTTGATCACCACCCAGACAGAACACAAATGTGTCTTGGACTCCTGTCGTTCACTGGAAGCTGAGGGTTTTCGGGTCACCTACCTCCCAGTGCAGAAGAGCGGGATCATTGATCTAAAGGTAAGAATGGCTTTTGGCATGACCGGCAAAATAGGAGTATCCTGGCTTCAGCTCTATATCTGTCACTTCAACCTTGGCTAGCTAGAGCTTAAATGTGGTTTTAATGGTGAGGGTGGATTTTAGAGAAAGCATCCTGGCAAAGAAAGAGATTGTTTCCCTTGAGTGAACACATCCTCCCCCTCTTTGAAGGAATTGTGTCTCCACTTTATTGGTGCTTCCTGGCTTTTATGAGAGCCACTGGGCATGTGTTCAGGATGCTGGAGACTCTTACTCACTATGGCAAAGTTCCTCTTTCCCTGTTCTGATGCCATTTATCCCCCCTAAAAAGGAAGTATAGGGCTCTTTTCTCTCTCTCTGGCACTGAAGATTGAACCCAGGGTCTTTTGTATGCTAGGTAAGCATTCTACCACTGAACTACACCCCGAACCCTTTCCTTAAATTATTTTTTTAATATCTGTTTTTTTAATTGTAGTTGTCAATACCTTTATTTTTTAATTTATTTTTTTATGTGGTGCTGGCACTTGCTAGGTGAGTACTCTACCTCTGAGCCACAACCCCAGACCTGCTTTTCCTTAAGTTTTATATTGAGATAGGATTTCATTGAGTTGCCCAGGCTGCCCTCTTAACTTGTTTCATTTTATGTGGTGCTTTGGATAGAACCCAGGGCCCTGTGCATGCCAGGTGAGCGCATTACCGCTTGAGCCACATCCTCAGCCCCGTTCTAACTTGTAATCCTGCTGCCTCAAACTCCTCCAGTAGCTGGTACCACAGGTATGCACCACAGCATACAATTAGCAGTGTAGCTTAGTGGTAGAGTGCTTGCTAAACATGAATGAGGATTTAGTCTTCAGGGCTGAAAAAAAAAAAAAAAAGTATACTTTTATAGAATCTTACCCATTTTGGCCCATTTCTTTATATATGTGTAT